TAAAAATTTTATCCTTTCGAGCCACAATTCCAAAAAGTACCGTGAGTGTAACCACCACGGCAGCAGCAATGACAGCCTCCTTGGGAAAAACAGGTTTTTTATCTGTCGAGAGAGAGGAGGTTGAGTATGTGATAGATTAGTACAGTCATATAAAAGAGAACATTTCACAGAACTGCGAAAAGACATATTTCTTTTCCCATGGCTGTCACCGCTGATTTGAAGTGTGCTGTCTCTGCTGTCCGCAGGCTGACTGTGTGCATTAGTTCCCTGGAAGGAAAGGAGCCAAGCCTGTATTTTTGTGAACTGGAAGAAGTATTGAAACGTTGGACCCTGAAGAAGTTGTTCCTCAAGGTATTCTTATGCATGGGAATAAGGGTGTCCAGAAGTTTGACTGACACAGCTAACATTCCTTTCCTCCCTGTTCCGAGAGTGCAGAAATGAGAGGGGCCCGGACAGTGGGTGGGAAATGGATGCCTGGTGGGTCTGGGTCACCTCGCCGAGCGTCACCTGTCTGAGAGCTGAGCATCCAGCCCCAGCAAGGCTGCCACCTCCCTGTTGTCCACAGGGCTATAGTCACTTCTGGAGGACAGCTTCTCTTGCCTTAAGCAGCTTTTTTGGCATGACAGAACACTATGGTCAGAGTAAGACGCTTCAAGTAAGACCTAAGGTGCTTTAAACCACAGTTGAATGTGCCCTGTCTGTGTGGGAAGTGAGGCAGCGGGATGAGCCTGCCTCAGGTCACGTTTGCCAAATGCCTTTGAATAACAGGTAGAGCAGGAAAGGCCCTTCCTGGTGCTGTGGTCCCAGGCACAGGTGCAAGGAGAGCTCCTTGCTGTTGCTGTGCCCTCAAAAGCTAATGTGGGGAATTTACCACATTCCATTTATGCTTCTTAATATAAATGGATTGCTATCATTATAAAAGAGAATGGAGAGTTATTGGTAAAGCGTATTGTTTGGCAGCAGCCTTGTTACCTTCAACTATCAGGTGGAAATCCTTTCTCCCCTCTCCCAAGGAAGATTTCATCACACAGGTGTAGGTCCCATTGTCAGACTTCTGTACTTTTCTGATAGAGAGCTGAGAGACTGCACTAGTCTGGTACAACTGGTGACGATCTTCCTGTAGGGTCAAGGTGGTGGTGTTCTTGTACCAAGCTGTTTGGGCTTGAGGGTTGGATTTGGCATTGCAGGTCAGAGTAACATCTTGGTCTTCTTCGATTTGGAGGGACTCTTCTCCAGTCAGCTGGGGAGGAACTGTTCACAGTAATGCAATTCAATGGGTCATTAATAAAGCTGCTCACCATTTAACACAAAAACAGTTCCCTTTACATGTCCCTTGTGCGCCTTGTTCAGTGGTGTAACACATCGCAGTTGTGCAGCCTTTCATGATCCCCGGGAATCAGCAGGGCAATCGGTGGCAAAGATAGTCATTCCCGTGACTCCCCTGCCCTGACTTGTATCCTTGGGAAAGAATCTAGGTGGAGACAGGGACATATCTAGAACATCTTCTTACTTAAGGGCCCACCCACTCCCTATAAAAGAGGCATTAGATCAGCACCACTGTGGAAAGGGAGTGTCTTATCACATGAGTTATCTCCTCCTAAATGCATTTTTTCTTGGTGAAGACAGTGTACAAGGGTGCAAAACACCCCGCCTTCAGCTAGCGCCCAGACACCGAGGTGCTCAGCCCATGATTCTGTCCCACCCCAGCCGTTCGGCACAGATATCCACTACTGCAACTCACACTGGACATCCAGGATCACAGACACTTGGACAGACTTGTCCCGTGCCAGCTTGCACGTGAAGGTCACTCCGTTGTCAGACTCGGTGACTGGGGATATGCAGATGTTACTGATGTTCACTTTATTCCCATCTTTCAGATCCACTCTCCCATCTCCTCGGTACCAGAGCAGCTCCTCAGCCTGGCTGCTGTTCTGTACTAGGCAGGAGAGGGAGACAGGAGGGCCAGGCAATGTAGACAGGGAGAAGTCAGCAGCCTGGTTATTTACAGACAATTCCAAACCTGCAAAAGAAGCAGAACGAGGGCACTAAGCATCCTCAGCTGAACCCTTCCCACAAAAGCTGCCCTGCTAGCTTCTCCAGGCCCTCGACCTTGGGAGAGGGACTCAGAGTTCCAGGCTTCAGTCTAACAGCTGTTTTCAGGTGGGACTTTAGTTTTTGAGACAAGAAGTTGTCTTCATCACAAAGCTTCCTTCACAGTTACTTAAAACAGAAGTCAGGCTTTTGCAACTGACTGCAAGAACGCCAAAGCCTGACCTGTAATAACATGTCTGAAAACCAGCGGTGACCATGTAACACACACAGCAAAAGATCGTCCCCATCGCGCCAGTCTTGCTCACCCTCTTGCCACCAATCACCATTGCAGCATACCTGTGCCCTCAGGTTTTGTGCTCGTGGTTTGATACGCTCTCTTTTGGTTGGAGCTGAATGCACATGAGAGTAGAAGTTAGTTAGTCAGTCCCTCAGCCGTGCCCCAGCCAGTCCGAGTCTGGCTGTTGAAGGGCTGCGGTTAGTCTAACATACAAACCTCAGGACATCCTAAATGAAGAACCAGTATGGGAAATAAATTTTTGTAATGGGCTGTATGGCTCATAGATTAAGGAACTAAAAATATAGCTCAGAATATAAAAGCACTATAGTCCTGTGAATATAAAAAAGTCTGAACCTCCCTGTCTCTTCCCTGATGTTCCCAGGTGGCCAAAGCTATCACACTTTTCACTGCTCAGAGCAGGTTGGTGGCCTCGTCATCTCTGTGCAGCTGCTGCAGTAACATTGGAAAACACTGAAGCTTCCCCCTTCCCTTCTCTGCTACTCTCAAAATCAGAGGCTGGTTTTCGAACAGTGCTCTGGGAATGACCTCCGGAACATCTGAAAGCTGGGATGCTGGTGTGGCACATCACCCTGGGCAGGCACTGCCCAGCCCGGGACAGTTTCGCATGTTGGCATGATGGGGCTTGGACAAAGCCACGACAGATTTTTTCCCGTTGCTTACCTGTGGCTACACATGCCAAAAAGCAAACGGCAAGGGCAGGCACTTCATAGGGGACTGTGGGGCTGCTTCTCTGCGCCATCTCGGGGGGGCCCAGCTGGCGTCTGTTGGAAAGAGGGTCACAGCGTTGCTGCCTCTGCTCAGGGCTTGCAGGGGTTTAACAGCTTGCTGCCATCAGACCCCCTGGGGAGAGCCCTCGCAGACCCCCATCCCCAGACGGGGTCACCAGGGAATAAACTAGGTCGATTTATTGCAAGGCTTTTTTTCAGTTTAGAGCAGAATCAAGGGGGTTTTATGTCTCTAATGCCTGTGGCATGAGTTCATAGTCTGCAGTCACCCAGGGGGATCAATCAGGGGGACCCATCTCTGGGTCATGTAGGACGGGACTTACCTCGGGAAGAGTCTCTGGAGAGCCTGCTTCTGCTAAGAAATGCACAGCTCTTTCCTCTCCTTATTTATAAGGTCTGAATTTTAATATTTTATGGTAGCTCAAATCCATAAAATTGTTTCAAGGCCTTGTTCAATTCCTGGATTTCTGAGCTCCCAGAAGACTGAAGAAAAGTATTTGCCAGGCCCTGCAGGCTGTTTTATGAGACTCGC